TATTATCTCCTCTCTTAAGTTTTCATGATAGGGTACTCTCCTGGTTCTGCTGCTATCTCTTCAACTACCCCTTCTCAGTCTCCTTTGCTGATTTTTCATCCATATCATGCCCACTCATTGTGGCTGTCCTGCAAAGCTCTTTCCTGCTCCTTCCTCTCTTTTTTCCTATATAAACTCTCACTTGGTGAACTTGGAGTCAAGTATCATCCCTAGATAGAGAATTCCGGGATGTTTACATTCATTGCTAATCTCTGTCTGAGCTCCATTTCTGCCTTTCCCAAAGCCTGTTGACATAACAAACTGGATGTCCTGTGGGTATCTTGGACTCAATATATCCAAAACAGAACTCATCTTTCTCCCAAAACCATCCCCTCTTCCAGACTTCACTTGACTTCAAGAACATGGCCATCATCTTCTCAGTGAGCTAGGCTCATAACCTTGAGGTCATCTTTGACTCCTCACTCTTTGTCACCCCACAAACTTACTATGTTGCCAGCTGTTGTCATTTCTACTTTTACAACATCTCTTATAATGTCCTCTTCTCTTTACTCACACCTGCCATCCCAGTTCAGGCCTTCATCACTGCTCCTTGAGAGTAGGACTTGATTCTTTTGTTTGTGTTTATTTTTTGGGGGAAAGGTTTTCTTTATTCTCCAGTACTTACTTAGCACATTGCTTGGCCCATTAGAAGCCATTTTATAACTGCTAGTTGTTGACTTGGGCTCTCTCCTAGGCTACTCAACAGCCTTCAAACTGGTATCCCTACCCCAATCCATCGCGTGCCCTGGTGCCGAGGTTATTTTTCTAAAGTATAGGCCCATCTCACCACTCTTACTAAGCTCCCATGGCTCCTATTACCCTTTCCATCAAATCAGATATAAACTTCTCTAGCATGTAAAACTTCATATCCTGTCTTCTTCCAGTCTTTCCGTCTTCTTACATTTTATTTTCTCCTACATACTTTATATTCCAGTGACATTGGTTTACCTACCATTTCTTTGAGTATGAAATTCCATCTTTTGTCTCCATGACTTTGTACTAGCTGCCTACCACATTTGGAATATTCTAATCCTTTAACTCCCCTCTTAGTTTTGCTGGCCTCCTCTCAGACTCAATAAAAATCTCACCTACCACAGGTGGCCTTTCCCAGCCTCCCAGCCCCATGATTCCCTGCCATATATTCTGGCTATATCTTGTATGTAACAACTAGGTTTTTTGTTTGTTTGTTTGTTTGTTTGTTTGTTTTTTGCTTGTGCTCACATGTTGTCTTCCCCATTATGACATAAACTCTCTCTAGGTAGAGACTCTTTGTGCCTTTCTTTGTATGACCAGCATTTAGCACAGTGCCTGACCCATAATGCTTGATAAATGTTCATTGAATGATAAAAGGTAATGTGATGTTGGTTATTATTTTGTGAAATATAATGAGCATGGTGTCCAAAACAAAGACAATGATAATGCCGCTGTACTATGCCTCAGTCCCACCACATTTGGAGTCTTGTGTTCAACTCTGGATCCCACCTTGATATGGTGGAAGTATATCCAGAGGAGGAGGGTAGCCAGAATGATATGAGGGTACTAATCATTTGCGTAAGTAGCTTAGAAGAGAAAACGCTGAAGAGAATCACCATAACTCTCTTCAAGTAATTGAAAGACTTTGTAAGTAAAAATGATGAATGCATGAAATGAATAAATAAAGGAAAAAGCATTTATTACCCGCTAACTATGTGACAACCACTTTATACCACTATGCTCCCAGGCACCCAAGTGAACAACCTCAGCATCAACTTTGACTTTTTATTCTCATGTCATTTCTGTCCTCTAAACATCACTTCCATATGTCCTCCTTTTCCCCCCATACAGATGTGACCCTTGTTGAAGCCTTCATCATCTTGTCAAAACTGTTCAAATAACTTCCAAATGAGTATTCTTGCTTTGTCTTCTCTCTTTCTGATGCATCTTTCATAGTCTCTAAAGTGATTTTCTGAAAGTGCAAATCTAACCACATTTCCCTATTCAACCAGATCCAGTGGTTCTCTACCATCTCAAAAAATAGTATGTGAACTCCTCTTTTTTATACTTAAAACTAGTGTCAACTCTGCTCCATCCTCCATCTCATTGTACCCACATTCATCATTTATCAGTTTGCCTTCCACCTATTCTACCAGTTTGGTTTTATTAAGTTTCTCTATGTATATGCATCTATACATACACATGTGTAAATGCAAAAATGATCATGATTTATACATTCTTGATCTCTCATCATGTCTAGCAAGGTTCTGATCTAATGGGAGGAGCTTTAGGAATACTTGCTGATTTTTAGTATGTATTAAGGACTTCTGTATTATAAAATAGTGATCACTGTTCTATAGTATCTGTAAGAAAGGAACAAAAAGATATCCGTTTAAACTGCAACACAAGGAATCCGAGTTATAAAGGGGAACTTCTAAAGGAGAGCAAGGAACAATGAAACACTCCAGGTTTTTTTTGTTTCTTTGTTCTGTTTTGTTGTTTTGTTCTTTAATGAACTTTACTGATCTGCTTAAGGCGAGTGTTCTCCAACCTTTCCACAGCAGTAGAACCCTTCAATTTATACAAAACTTGGGCAGAACCTTTATGGTAAAATCCTCTAAAGTTATTTTTATGACCATTAACAAATACCTGATGAACGAGGGCTGAACCTAAAGTCAGGTGAGAAGAGTTAAATCCAACCTGCAACACATATTAGCTGTATGATCACGTGAGCTATCTGAACATCAGTTTAGCTCCTTATATCTATAAAATGGGGATAATGTACTTGCAGGTGAGCAGCAGATGAGATCTTTTGCAAATCTTAAACTTTTACATACACGTTAGCTATCCTAATTATTACCCAGTTCCTCTCCACTATGCAGTCTCTCTCTTCAGCAAATTCTGTTATTTTTTTTTCCTCCCCAGTGTCTCTCACACCCATTTTTCTTGTTTATATTCCCACTGCCACCAACCTAGTTCAGGCTCATCACTTCACACCTGGACTCCTGCAAGAAGTTCCTAACTGAGCTCACTAATGTCATTCTCTCCACCCTCCACTCTACCTGATGCAGCAGATTCATTTTCCTGAAATAGCATATAGATCACATCAGTCTCCTTGTTCAGAAGTCTTTAATGCTTCCTTTACTAAAAAGAAATATTCTTGGCATCCAAGATACTCTATAATCTCGTTACTCCCAACTTTTTATAGTGGATACACTTCAGGACTTTGAATCAGGAAGATCTCAGCTCAGATCCTATCTTTAACACTTACTAGCTGTGTAACCCTGGGCAAGTCACTTAACCCTGTTTGCCTGAGTTTCCTCATCTATAAAAAATGAGCTAGAGAAGGAAATGGCAAACCACTCCATTATCTTTGCTAAGAAAACCCCAAATTGGGTCACAAAGAATTCGACACACTGAAACAACTCAACAATAACAACAAGCTTTGTGACCCTGGCAAGTTACATCATCATCATCATTATGACAAACCTTTCTCTAGCACCTTAAGGTTTGCAAAGCACCTTTACAAATATGCTCTCATTTTATCCTCACAGAACCATGGGAGGTAGGTCTATTATTACCCTCATTGTACAGATAAGGAAACTGAGGTAGAAAGAAGTTAAGTGATTTGTCCAGAGTCACAGAGCTATTAAGTGTCTGAGATTGTATTTGAATTTTTCAAACTTTAGAGTTTCATATAAATGATATTATTGTTATTCTTCTCCTACGTTTTCTCTAAAATGGTGTCCATACTGTGTCTGGACCACAGCATGCACTTTCTTATGTGTCTCTATCTTTTTCTATGCCATTGCTTTTTGAATTGAATGCCCTCCTCCCTCCTCTTTTCCTTCGATTCAAAATCCTTCAATTCAAAATGTACCAAGAATACCAGAATCCCTTTAATTTTGAGTTGGAAGGAAGCTTAGTGTCTGTTTATTTCAACCTACCCTGTTCTGTCTCCCTTGGTCCCTGCAGTTGTTACTTCTCCCTTCTCCTTTCTCCTGTCTTTCTCTTTCTCCTCTCTTCCTCTCTCTCTCACTCCTTCTCTGTCCTCCTCCTTTTTCCTCTCCCTTCCTCGCCACAGAGACTATACCTGTGATTGCATTGGTATAGGGAACTCCTTCCACCAATGCGCTTCAATATCCTTCCCATAATTTATAGGATTTTTTTTTTCCTACAACTCATACTTCTTAAAGGCAGGAACTCCTCTCACTTTGTTTCTCCCAAATCTGGCACACTCCCTCGTACGAATAGGTACTTGTTCCAAATTTGTTAACTGAGTTATTGACAAGAAGCAAGGCAATCTCATCTCCTAAGCATGGATATCGGGGTAATAATTTGGGAATGAGGGAATGAAAAGAAAGTCAAGAACAATACTTCTGAAGAATGTTTAGAAGGCAATCAGAACATGAATGAAAGCAGATGACTGCTGATAGCCAGGTTGGAGTTAGACTAGGAGACAAATCTATAGGGAAAACAGTTCACAGGGCGATGTTTTTGTTTACTTACTAGCTATGTGACCTTGGGCGAGTCACTTAACCCCTGTCTGCCTCATTTTCCTCATCTGTAAAATGAAGATACTGGTAGCACCTACACACAGGTATGTTGGAGGATAAATGAGATAAAATTTGTAAAGAACTTTGCAAACCTTAATGCACTATATGGGTTATTTTGTTATTGTTGTTATTAATGGTGCTCTGTGGCCAAGAAGCTGCCAAAAAAAAAAAAGTGAGTTCCAGGGGGAAAAAGCTGCAAAAAAAAAAAAAAAATCTGTTTGTTTTTTTTTTTAACTTCTCTAACACTCACTGTCTCCAACCTCCATGGAGCTCCCCCCTTCATTTTTTACATTTAAAGCTCTCTATGCTCCCTTTCTTCCGTGTTGAGTGAGTGGTGAAGCCTACAGCTACCCCGGTCCTTTAAGAGTCTGTCTGTCCATCGATGAGCCTGATGCATAACGACCTCACAGCTTGTCCTTTCGTTTCTCTCAGGTGTGCAGTGCAATTCAGAATCAGGATTTCACGGTGATTGAGGATTACTGCACTGGGCTCAAGGCCCTGCTTTATCTAAAAAGCCTTGAGGAGTTGAAAGACTGGGATGGTCAGAGTCCCGTAACTATTCGTCACCAGAAAGGGAAGCCGGTTCCTCGTATCGCAGATCTCACCGGGAAGGTAAATGCATACTTTTCCTGTGTTCTCCTAAAAAGTTGTGGTCTTCTTTTTTATTCTTTATCTTTGATTACTTGGAAGGCAATATAAAGTAATAGAAGAAGTACTGGATTTTTGAGTCAGGGGTCTTGGGTTCAAATCTCACCCCTGCCACTTACTACCTGGGTGACATTGGATAAGTCAGTTAATGTCTATGGGTTAGTCATCTCATCTGTCAAAGAGGAAATTAGACTAGACAGCCTTTAAAGTTCCCTTCCAGCTATACATCTATGGTATTGTGTTCCTATGATACAAGACTCACCACCAAACTGAGTGACTAATGAAGGGTTCTTTATGCTGTGTATGATTTCTACAGAAGATTGTTCTGAAGGGGCTTGATTATAGCCATGTGATGTGCCTGCAGAGTCCACTTGTATAAAACCAATATAGCCCAAGGTCTTAAAAAAAGGAAGAATTGGTGGGATTGAGGTTTTGAGTGTGAAATGCCTCCCAATTCACGCTTCCCATGGCTGATGACTGGCATTCTTTTCAGTGGGAGGCTATAGAGTTCTTTATTCTCTAACAAGCTCCGAAAATTATAACATTACCTTTCTATTTTCAAGACAATCAAATCACTGGAGTTCTGAATAATATGATGATGTTTTAAAATTAAATTCTAATCAGTATCTTTTGTAACTGCTCCTGCTATGTGGTTAAACCCAGGCTCAAAAGGTTATGTTCCAACTTTCCCACTAACTGCTATTTTCGGAGAAATATATACTACATTTACATTTTGTATAATACAGTGATTTTAGCAACTCTTTTCTAAAACAACATTCAGTATTTTGTCTTTGTATTTCCTTTGTATTATACTAGATAGTCAGCCATTGTCAGAAGACATTTCTCATGTCCTGAATGCAAAAGGGAAAAAATTACAATTCTCTGTCTTTTCAGCTTGTCACTACATCAATAATTAACTTTAAAAAAAAAAAGACATGGTAAAAAAAAAAGATGCTTTAAGGAAGCATTTAATAATTCAAAGGAATCTTAACTTGAAACAGGTCACATGAAAAAGAATTGAAAACAAAGCCCTGGATAATCTGGTTTGGATGGTTAAGTTGGGGATTCAGAAGGAATGGAGGAATCAACAGACACCTGACTTTTTATTTGGTTATCCTCCTGGAAAGATTTCATTGCTATCTCATCACTAACATAGGACCGAAAATAAAGGTCAGCCAGAAGGTTAAGTCATTGGTGAGATAATTCTATAGTTTAGTCCCACAGCAATGTGATTATAGGTCCAATAATGAAAAACAAGAAGAGAAAGGAAATAAAATAATACAGGGTAAGTTCCAGGGAAATATGATGAATGACTCCATGAGTGACAATCAAACAGAAAGGCTTGGTGATATTAATATTTATAATATAATTATCAAGGCTGTGCCTAAGTAGCATTATTAGTGTAACTAACCATATTATCATGAACTGAGTTTCCAGTATTACAAGAGAGCGTGTTCTTGTCTTGATTTTTTTTCTATCCTAAAATCCACATATTTTTCAAAAACTACTAATAAATTTATCCACTTTGATGTAAAGGACTGGAGGTTATTTTTTATTGGCATCTGTTTCCTGACATGGTGGTTCCGTGCTATGTCCAAAGGCATGGTCTCAAGTTCAGGTAGTTGTGATGTGAGCTAAAGAACTAAATTATTGGAACAGAGATGGGGGAATTTACATGTAGTCCAGTGAAGTCATAAAGGTAGCCCAGGAGAGTGCATCCAGGGCCATATTGATGTCAAATGCCTCTGAAGTGTTGATTAGTATGAAATAACATAGAATCAAGTTGCATTTCCAGTGTTATACAATTTGTCTTGAAGGAACTTTGATGCATTCAGCAATCATTTATTGAATACCTGTTTCACATCAGACACTGGATTGGGCACTGGAAATGCAAAGACAAAAATGAAAATTCTTGACTTCCCGGTGCTTATGTTCTGTTAGAAGAAAACAACACAGCACAGTTCAGATGAAAAAATACACAATATTTTCAAAATAAATAGAGAGTCACAGGACCTGAGTTCAAAGCCTAACTATACCTATTACAGTCTTTGTAACCTTGGACAAGTCACTGAGCCTCAGTTTCCTCATATGTAAAGTTAGGGGTTGTTGGACTATGTGGCTTCTAAGTTTTAAAATCTGATCCTGTGATTCTATGATCTTAATTTATGGGGGAGAAGGCACTAGCACCTGTTAAGATCAATATAGATCACTATGTACAATTCACGTATGAGAGTACTTGAGGTGAGGTTTGAAAGAAGCAAAGAATTACAAGAGACAGAGGTGAGAAGGGAATGCACCCCAGGCATGAGTCACAGTGTGTGTGTACAGAAATGGAGAAGGGAGATGGAGTGCCATCTGTAAGGAAGGGCAAACAGACCAGTGTGACTGGAACATCCAGTGGAGGAAGGAGAGGAATGGGCAATAAGCCTGGCAAGACATGTAGAAATCAAATAGTGAAGGACTTTAATGCCAAATAGGGGAGTTTAAATTTTACCTTAAAGATTACAGGGAGTAACTGAATCTTCTTCAGTGTGAGAGGACACCGTCAGACCCCAAGCTAACAAATTCAAAAGAAGTGAAATGTTTCGGGCTGAGGACACTGTGCACCTCTTCTATCACCAACCTGCAGAGAAGATTTTTCTATTTTGGGTTGATTGGATGAATCAAGGCTTTGTCCAAATTAAAAAGCGTATTTCTCATCAATATCATATGTTTAAAAAACAACAATGACAAACCACCACCACCCATCCTGTCTGTGTGAGGATATTAGTAATTCATTTCTAAACACCAGGTTCAGAAACAAGCAGATGGTCTGGTAATAGATTTGTGCTCCAGGATTCTCTAGTGTCAGCTGACATGACTAAAACAATAGAAGAATATCCCCTTCAGGTTAATATTCCTGATACTGAACCAAGTACCTTTGGATTAGAGATACAGGTGTCTTGACAAGTAGCTTCATTATTGTTTGCTGTTCATGTTTTGTGTGTTTAATATTTACAAAGTCCCCACATTATGCTGGCATCGTATAAAACAAAGGGCCCTTTTCTTGTGACATTTGCATGCCAAAGAGATACAGAAAGAAGCAAAGCTGGGTCTTTAAAAAAAAAAGTCATTCTAATCAATTGCCTTGGCTCTGGGAGGAAGGAAGTGCTGCACTATAGTGAATTATACACTCCTAGGAATTCAATCAGTTAATCAACAAGCATATATTAAACACCTACCATGTGCTTAGCATTATGTCAGGTACAAAAACAAAAATGAAGCAGCCCCTGCCTTCGAGGAACTTACATTCTAACAGAGGAGACATACAAGTTTCTATACAAGACACTTAAAAAGCAGACACAAGAGGACCTTGTATAAGACCACACCAATTAGTGGTTATTAAATAACACTTCTTATAATCCTAAATTATCACCTTATAGGGCAGCTTATTCCATTTTGGGGCTGTTCTTACCCTTACGTAGATAGGCATTTACAAAATATATAGCAAATAAGTATAACGTCATCATTTAAGGTAGAAAGTGAGTAGAAGATGGAGGACTGATGACCAAAAAAAGTCATTTAGAAGATATATATTATGATTTAGTTGATAGGACTAGAAGATTTTGAGTTTGAAGGGCCTTTAGAGATCATCTAGTCTAAATATAGATGAGAAAACTGAGGCCCAGGGAGGTGATGCCCATGTGGCCATAACAGTAGAGCTGGGATTTAAAGCTAAGTCCTCTAATGTGAAAGCCAGTGCCCTTTCCAGAGTGCCACAGCTGCCTGGCAGTAGTGAAAGGGTCCCTAGTGCTTTAGAGAGTTTCCAAGTGTCACACACATACTACCTCATTTGAATCTCACCTGCAAGGTAAGTTCAACAGGTATGGTTATTTCCACTTTACAAGTGAATAAGCAGATTTAGAGTGATTGGGAGATTGCCTACAGCCAAAGGGTTAATGAGCTTCAGAGGTGAGATGCCAACCCAGATATCTATTGACCCCAGAACTGAGATTTCAACCTAGGTGTCTAAAGATGCCAGATCAAACATTATTGCTGTGATGCCATGTATCTTGGAAATAAACTGGCCTAGGGGTTGGGGTGCATTGAATGCCTCATCTTGAGATTATTTAGCATCTTACTCTAGCTCATTATTTTTCCCCTCAAACTGTATCTACATTTTTGCCAAAATGCCCTATTTCTGTTGAGAGCTCCATTATCCTTCAAGTCACTCAAGTTCTCAATACAGAATTAGCCTCAATTCCTTACTCTCCCCAACCCCAACTCCATATCCAATCAGATGCAAAGGCATTCTTATCCCACTGCTGTGATATGGCTTGTATTCATCTCATGCTTTCCACTTGCAAAACTGTCATCTTAGTTAAGGCTCTTAGCTGGACTATTACAATTAGCTTCCTAATTGTTCCCCCTACACCCACCCAATCATTCCAAGCAACTGGGTGATACAATGGATAGAAGACAGGGTCTGGAATCAGGAAGACCTAAGGATAAATCCAGCCTCAAATATTTACTAGCTGTGTTATCGTGGGAAAGTCATTTAACCTCTGTTTGCCTCAGCTTCCTCAACTGTAAAATGAGGGGTTAATAATGGCACCTACCAAATAGAGCTACTGTGAGGATCAAATGCAGTCATATTTGCAAAGTACATAGTACAGTGCCTGTACTGTACAGAGCCTAGCAGGCTCTTGATAGATGCTGGTTCTCTTCTCCTTCCCATCACAATCAAAGTATTAAGAGCTTAGATAGATAGATATACTAGGTTTACAAAGAAAGGTGAAGGCACTATCCTTAACTTCAGTTAGCTTACATTCTAAATGGGGAGACAGCATGTAAAAAACTGGGTTCATACCCAAGTGGAATGTAAACTGAGTCTTGAAAGAGACCAAGGAAGAAGTCAAGCCAGAGGGGAGGAGAGAGAACATTGTAGGTAGCGGGGACATCTGGGGCAAAGACACCAAATCTGG